TCAAGTTGAAAAGGTATGAATGCTTTTACCCCAAAAAATGTTCTCACAATGTTGGCATTAATAAAACATAAAATTTACACTTGTCCAGCAAAGATGCTAGTGACTTCATGCTGAATAGATGACATAAGCGTTTAGGAATTCTAATGAAATGAGTTAGAAGTCTTAAATACCATTTCTCTAATGTAATGTGGTAGCTCTGGGGGAAAAAATGATTTTCTTTTTGCTCATAGTGGTCAGTTACCTAGGAATAAGTCTCAAATATTGGTTCTGTTCCGGGGCAGCGCCTGTGGCTCAAAGGAGTAGGGTACTGACCCCATATGCTGGAGGTGGTGGGTTCAAGCCCAGCCCCGGCCAAAACCTGCCCCCCCCCCAAAAAAAACCCATATATATATATATATATTCTCTTCCTTTTGAAATGTCAATGGATTTTGTATTGGAAACTCAAAACCACTCTAAGACTCAAGAAAGTCATGACTCTTACTGTAACAAACCTTGTGTTATTTAATTATATTGTGGCCATCATTAGAAGAATAATAATTTGTAAATAGTTTATTTATGCTGCTTTTGTTTTTCTTTTTTTGGTAAACAGGCCTGAGCCAGGTTCAAACCTGCCAGCCTTGGTGCACAGGCCGGCGCTCTAACCGCTGAGCTACAGGTGCCTAGCCATATTTATACTGCTAAGAAGAGATCGCAAGAGAAATAATTGGACTAGCCATGACAAAGAAATTATTTGAAACATCTTTAAAACTGCCATAGCTGGCTTGGTGCCTGTGGCTCAGCGGCCCGGGCACCAGCCACATACACCAGAGGTGGGGGTTTCGAACCCAGCCCAAACATGCCAAAACAACTACAGCAAAAAAATAGCCAGGCGTTGTGGTGGGCACTTGTAGTCCTAGCTACTTGGGAGGCTGAGGCAAGAGAATCACTTAAGCCCAATAGTTTGAGGTTGCTGTGAGATGTGACACTACAGCACTCTACCAAGAGTGACATAGTAAGACTCTGTCTCAAACAAACAAACAAACAAACAAAAACTGCCATAGCCACAGTCATAACAAATTTTTCTAGTGTTAGGTATGGGCTGTCCCCAGGTTATGAACAAGATAGGCTCGGTAGGTTTGTTCTGAAATTTAATTTATATGTAAGTTGAAACAGATACATTTACCTATTACCTATAATAGCGTCCGTTCATAAGTGTGTATTGTATATAAGTTGGACATTTGTAACTTGGAGGTTTGCTTTAATGATTCTAATTTCTGTGCAAACTACAAATTGTGGTTTGGTATGACCATGGTTTATGCACCTGTTTATTCAGCTCTGTTTATTCAACTCATGGTGCTGAAAGGGATCCCATTGTTCATTTAGGAACTAAATCTGTATTTAACCATTGACAGACCCACATTCCCCCAGAACATGCATGTAGAAGTAACAAAACATCTAAAAATACATTCTGCAGTTGAACTTCTGCTTATTCAGAGCAGTTCTCAGATCCATTCTGTGCTCTTTTGTCTGCATTCCAGCTCCTTCTCCTGGCAATATGTTCATTAATTGAAAAAGTATTATGTACAGTGGCTTCCCTGGACAAGGCACTGGACCAAGTGCTGAGGTGTGTGGAACACAGGCCTTGCTGACAAGGCGCTCACCATTGAGAGCTGGAAGTGAGACCTGCACAGAAGAACTGAGGCATAAAATAGGACCATATGTGAATGGTGTTATGGGAGCTACAGCGTGCTATAGAATTTCATAGAAGGGCAAGGAGCCTGGGGAATCACTTTTAGCTGAGATTGAAGAGCAAAAAATACAACAAGAGTTTTTCTGTTCACTTGCTTTGAGTTACAGAAAAATCATTGACATTCCTGGGCTTTCTTCTAGCAAATGTTTAGTAATATAATGACCTATACTCCATGACTGGTTTGCGGGATCACCATTCTAAAATGTCTGTGATCAAAGATTGTGAAATTCAAGACATAATTCAGTTCAAGGGAAGGCTGGCATTTGGCAAGCAAAAGAATAGTTGTATCTGTCGGTACTGTCAGGGCCCTTGTGGTTTTAATATTTGTCTGAATTTTAGGCATAAAGGCTTAAAATGAAATTTTGTTTTGTATTTCCTTTTTTTTTTTTGAGACGGAGCCTCAAGCTGTCACTCTGGGTAGAGTGCCATGGTGTCACAGCTCACAGCAACCTCTAACTCCTGGGCTTAAGTGATTCTCTTCCCTCAGCCTCCCAGGTAGCTGGGACTACAGGCACCCGCCACAACATCTGGCTATTTTTTGGTTGTAGTTATCATTGTTGTTTGGCAGGCCTGGGCTTGGATTCAGACCTGCCAACTCTGGTGTATGTGGCTGGTGCCTTAGCCGCTTGAGCTACAGGGGCTGAGCCTGTATTTCCTTTTATTAGCAGAACAACTTTAAATTACTAACTCTTTCAGTGTTAGAAATGAAAATTGTCATAGAATTTGCAATGATTCTTACTGACAGGTAGACCCCTCAGTTTGAGATGGATTTCATTTTTATTTCAAGTAGTAGTACTGTGAAGTAAATCTCTGGCTTTCTAATCTCATGTGCAGAATAGCAAACTGATAAAAATAAGTTTGAGGTAAGCATGAAAAATTAACAGATAGGAAATACATGATGATTCCACTATACATATAAAGCAACAACTGAAGAAATTCTTTTGGTCTCCAGAGGACAATAGTAAAGATACACTTAAAAACACTGGAAAATAGCCTCTATTGGCTGTTTAAAGTAAGAAGGGTTGACTTAGGTCAAAAGGAAAGGAAAATGTCCTGGGAATGAGTTAAGTGCTGTAAGATGCCATTAAAGGGTGGTTGTGGAATCTCCTTTTCTGGAAATGTTTAAAAACAAGACAGATTTTCATCTCTCAGGAGAAGTACTGAAGTTAGTTCTTGCCCAGAGGCTGGAAGATTAACGGGATTACGCCTGTGTGGTCTCTTAAGTCATTGGAGAAGCCTTTGAATGTAGTGAATAATTCCCCTCTCTGTTGGCTAAAAGTATTGTTTCCTAGCTGTTCATTTGAAACCTGGTTATTATAAGACCAGAGCGAATGTTTGTGTAACAAAACTGAATTTGGATCTAGGGTTGATGATGTAAGTAGTGTGCCTAGTATATATCTGTATCAGTTTTAATAGCATTAGAAAAAAGATCGTGTATTGCTGAAACTATTCAGAGCATAATTTGGTCTCTTGTGATGTAAAAAGCACCTGGTTCCTTGAAAGGTAAAAGCAGCTACTATGAACATTGCGGGCTTCAAAGATAAATTAGGTATGGTTCCTGCCTTCAAGGAATTTAGTGTACAAGTGGAGACAAAAATTATATACAGATCATATACATGATAAATGAAAAATAGAATAATTTGGATAGGAGCCATAAAAAAGGATTAAACAGTATTGTGATACCATTATAATTGTGATTATAATTTCAGAGAAGGGAAAGATAATTCCTTTAGATTTAACCAAGGAATGCTTCCTGGGAAGAACATGTGTTAAACTGGGTCTTGAGGAGTATGAAGTGTACTGAAGGGTGGAAATGAAGAAGAGAACAAGAACAGAGGTGAAATTGTCTTCAGTAATAAAGTAAGGACAAGTTACACAGAGCTTGAGGAACTTGGGGGAAAGTGGCTAACAGAGCCTCATTGGGGCCTCTCAAATGCTAGGCCAAAAAGCAAGGGCTCCATTTGCTTAGTGCTTGAGATGTCTTGGAAATGATCAAGAAGGGATTCCTGTCCATGGGAGGTTTATAATTTGCTGTTTGGATGGCTAGAGAAAAAAAGGCAATAGCAAAGAACCCAGGAAAGTGACTGCTGTCATCTGGGCCAGAGTTTGCTAAGGAATATAATGACCATAAACAATTGGATGGTTTTCTTTGCTGGATGACTTTCCAGGGACTTTAATATTGAGAATACTATTGAGAATCTCAAATAGGGTTTGAGATTCCAACATGATTTAATCTTTTTTCCCCACGGACTAGCTCACGAAACCACTGTTCTTGGAACACGCTTTGCAGAACGTTGCTTTATGGATTGATGATAGTGGGTAGAGCACAAGTGGTTAGATGGGAGTCCTATGGAGGAAGCATAAGGCATTCCTGATAGATAGTAGCCATTTAGTAGCTATATGGAAAATTTCTGTATGCAAGAGTGAATTATTGATTTAATAACCATAGTTGGCCGGAGATTGCGTGTTGAAACAGAAGTGGGAAAGGAGTCCAAGATGGGAATGTAAGTAGCTTTGAGGTTCGGCTATGCTAGAAATGATATGGGAAACTAGAAAAAGGAACTGGTTTAAAAGAAATGTGATCATTTTAGTGTTACTTGAGAAGCTAAAGGAGATGCAGCCAGGAGGTTTCAACAAACTGGAACTGTGGACTTGGAGAAAAATGGGTTGTTTTTTTGTTCTCATTAAATGTACCATGTTTTTAAAAATCTAGTCAGAATGTCTGGTTATTTGAATTCTGGTTGAAAGACAAGTTTCATATACAGTTTAATACATGAAGCTAACTATAAATTTAATCTCAAAAGAACTTCATGGGTGGTGCCTGTGGCTCAGTGGGTAGGATGCCGGCCCCATATACCAAGGGTGGTGGGTTCAAACACGGCCCCAGCCAAACTGCAACAAAAAAATAGTTGGGCGTTGTGGCCGGCGCCTGTAGTCCCAGCTACTCAGGAGGCTGAGGCATGAGAATCGCCTAAGCCCAGGACTTGGAGGTTGCTGTGAGCTGTGACGCCATGGCACTCTACCAAGGGCAATAAAGTGAGACTCTGTCTCTAAAAAATAAATAAATAAATAAATAAATGAATAAATAAGAACTTCATGGTTAACAAAAGTACCAAACCTGTAGCAATTTTTAAAAATCAGACAGTAGTGGGTATCCCTCTCTAGATTTAAAAAACTGAAGCAGTAGTGAGTGTCCTTTTCATCTTCATTTTGATTTTTAGTCTGATGTTCTCATAAAGAGTTATCTTTAATATTTTTTCCTTCTGTTTAGGTATTTGCCTTTGATTATTGTTTTTGGTCCATGGATGAATCTAACACTGCAAAATATGCCGGTAAGTTGACTCTCTGCGCCTGATAGTTGGACGTGTGTCCTCTTCCATTACATCTGTTTTCTTTAATTACTCCTGAGTTTTATTTTTCCCACATAATTCACACCCATTCTTTCCAACTCTAGCATATGAGTTTGGTTTCAGAATCTGGCTCTGCCACTGACTAGCAAAAAACTCGGACAATTTTTTTTTTTTTTAATTTCATTAAGCTTCAAGTTCTTCCCCTGTAAAGGGGAGTATTGTAATATTATCTTCAGAGACGTTCCAAGGATTTGAGATAATGGAGGATCCACCTCAGTGTGTCAGGGAACCACACCCACATAGCAATAAGTGGTAGCTGTTGGGATTATCACATGAAGAAAAAGTTTCATTTTTCATTCCATTCCTTGCCACTAGTGTTCAAGTCACCCCCTGCTTTGTTTGTATGAGCAAAGGCCAGGTGCTGTTGGTGGCCAGGGCGCACTCAGGTCCTGTGTCCTAGGCTGTCCGTGATCATATGAACTAAATTCCATGTTTCTCCAAGAAATGCTGCCTCCTCCTAGTCCCACTTGTTTCTACTGGTATTCTGTCCTTGAGGCATTTTTATCCTTGCTCAACCCAACACAAGTGACTGTTGTTTTACTATTTATAATCATAGGTGAATCTCAGGCCTTCCTAGGAGTCAATTGCAATTGTCACAGTTCAAGAAGCATTTGGTTTAGTGGAAGAAGTTTTTGGTTCCTTCCCCTCTGATTGCATCCCCCATTTTCTTAGATATTTCATCTTTTTGTTTTTTTGTTTTGTTTTGTTTTTTGAGACAGAGCCTCAAGCAGTACCCCTGGGGAGAGTGCTGTGGCATCACAGCTCACAGCAACATACAACTCCCAGGCTCAAGCAGGTCTCCTGCCCCCACCTCCCAAGTAGCTGGGACCACAGGTGCCCGCCACAAGGCCCAGCTATTTTTTTTTTATTACAGCCATCATTGTTGTTCCGCGGGCCCGGGCTGGATTTGAACCCGCCACCCTAGGTGGATGTGGCTGGCGCCCCAGCCACTTGAGCCATAGGCACTGAGCCGATATTTCATCTTTTTAAAAATGTTGTTTTAGGGCTGCGCCTGTGGCTCAGTCAGTAGGGTGCTGGCCCCATATACCAAGGGTGGTGAGTTCAAACCCAGCCCCAGCCAAACTGCAACAAAAAAATAGCCAGGTGTTGTGGCGGGTGCCTATAGTGCCAGCTACTTGGGAGGCTGAGGCAAGAGAATTGCCTAAGCCCAGGAGTTGGAGGTTGCTGTGAGCTGTGACACCACAGCACTCTACCAAGGGTGATAAAGTGAAACTCTGTCTCTACAAAGAAAAAAAAAGTTGTTTTAAATTGACAAGTAAATATTCTGTGTGTTTACGTACATGTTTTAAAATGTGTATATACTGTGGAATGGCAATGGCTATATCAAGCTAATTAACGTATGCATTCCTCACATACTTATTTTTTGGGTGAGAACACTGAAAATCTACTCCTTTACCAGTTTTCAACATACATCGTCATCATCTATAGTCGTGCTATACAGTAGATCTCTCAGCCTAGATTTTTCCTCTTGATGAATGTTTTCTCCTTATAAGAGCATCAGCAGAATGACTTTCTCATCTAGTTAAAAACCAGCAAAAACAAAGAGAAGATACAAGTATTAAAAAATTTGGAGGTGGAAGGAAGTTACTTGCTGATAGGGCACTTTTTATTTTACTTATTTATTTATTTATTTATTGCAGTTTTTGGTCGAGGCTGGGTTGGAACCCGCCACCTCTGGTATATGAGGCCAGAGCCCTACTCCTTTGAGCCACACGCACCGCCCAGGAACTTTTTATTGATGCCATATAAAGCAAATTTGTTGAGAAATTGATATGTAATTTTTTTTTTAAAGTTAATCTTAAACTAGCAAAATTCCTTTAGTTGCTCACATTGGGTGAATTAGCGTTTCCAAACATCATTCCTGCAATGTCAGCAAAGTATTTTATTAAAATGAGTAAGTGGTTCATGATGTTGGTTGTAATTAATTTGTCTTTGTATTCCTCTTTGGGACTTTATCTGACAAATTCCATACTCTGGAACAATCTGATTGTTAGCACTATCTGTATTTTTGTGCTGATTCAAATCAGCAACAAAAGTAAAACATTTTCTACAGTTGCAGAGACAACTAGGGACAAATGCTGTGGCTGTACAAAGCGCATTTTCTACCCTGTTCAGTTGATGATATTCAAGATGCTGCCCGATATATCTTCCTGAACTAGAGCCCTTCTCATGCAGCTCTCAAATACTTTCCAGGACTCTTCATTTATCTTTATCTTACCAGATAAAATCTATACTCCTGGGACTGTATTTCAGGTCCTTTTTTATGCAGATCCATCCCTCTCCCCACCCTGTGTCCTGGGACTCTCCACCACCATCATTCTCGGCCTCAGCCCAGGCTCTGTTGTTGGTCCCTCTCATAAAACCCAGGAAGCCTGAAAGTCTCAGAATAATTTTTAAGTATTTGTGAAACCCCTACTGTGTGCGCAGCCCAGGAAAACTTTGAGAAACCCCAAAATAAGTTAGCAAGGAAGAGACATGCATGCATATCAAACAACGTTTAGAGATAATATTTAAGCTCTAAATATTAGAGTAATAGAGAAAAATCCAAGAAGAGACAAAAATCTGAAATTGTCAGAAATAATTTCATTCAATGCAGATGATAAAATTCAGTTGGGCAACTCAAGATTTCTGTAGCTCTTCATTACAAATAGTGTATTCAGATATATTTTTAAAAATAAAAGTGATTTTTAAACACAGGCTGTTTACTAAATTTTTGGTTGCACAGTCACATTGGATACCATGTTCCAATGAGCCCTGAAGCAGGGTTCTCCTGACTCAGAGAGCGTTGTCTATTTATAAAATTTTAGGTAAAATTTCTCATTCTTCAAATATCCCCATTATTGTACAAATACTGATACCCGTCTCACTTAGAAAAAGTAAAATTGTTGCTTACTATTCTGTCAGGTTTTCATTTATTGTAATTGATCTGCCTAATAAATATGTAACTAGTATATTAGTTGATTGGCTTCCATACTAATTTGATTTCCTATTTCTTCATTAAAAAATAGCAGTTCTTTCTTAATTGTGAATGGAAACATTAAGATAGAAGCATTCATTATCTGGTGGGAAATAGGGGAAATGAAGAAGGGGAAGCACATATTTCCTGAAAACGACCTATTTGTCATACTGGATGAATAATGGCATCATTGATGCTGAATTGGGGCTCTCAAAGCTGCTCTCAAAACTGGAGGCTGATGGAGAGAGAGAGAAAGATGAGTGTAAGGATTGAGAGAGCAAAGAGAAGCAGAGGTCCTGAGTTTCATGTGGTGTGTTAAAATGTCAGATTCTCAGTTGCCTTTGGCCATGTATTAAAAGTGCTCAGGCTTTCTGATTAGAAACACCTGATTCTCTAGTAGGGCTAATGGCATTGCCGTGGGTCCTATGCAGTGGTTGTAGAAAATGAGCGCTTAAGTCAGACTGGGTTCAGATCCAGCTCCACCACTTTGCATCTGTGCGAAGCTGTGCGCACTGAGTCTCACTGTGCTTCTGTTTTCTCGATGATAAATAAGGGCAGTGATAGTTCTGATCTCACAGCGTTGATTTGAGGACTAAATGACGTGTCTGTACAAACTTAACCCAGTACCTGGCGTGTAGGAAGCACCAGCTTAGTGTGTATCCTCATTGTCGTCTTCATTATTATTCCTTTACTGCAGTAGTTGAGGAAGCATCCTCAGTATTTCAGAAAGAAAACGCATGCACGGGGGTTTATGAGACGTGGTTTTGTCACAAGCTGCTAGACTTTGGGCAAGATAACCTCTGTGAGTCTCCGTGTCTCATCTGTGAAAGGCGGAGATACAGCCTGGAATGATCTCAGATCCCCTCCGGCCCTCTTACAAAACATGAATCAGCCATTTTATACTGGCTGTACAGCTGCTCAGCGGACTGGTCAGGGGCAAATCAAAGGCTTGTTTGTGAAGCCATTGGCACTGCATTGAATCGTGCTTTGAGGCATTTACATTATCTTTTCTTCCTATTACCTCTTGGCTAGGTAGTTGTAATAATATTTGTCTGGCAGATAATTCTGAGTTTGAAGCAAAAACCCCTGTGCTAGGGATAAGGAAAAAACAAATAACCTGCAGAATTAGGCATCTGAAGCATGGCATTGCTACATGAATCCATATGTTCCCCCAAACCTCGTATGTACAGGCACATATACATAGATTTATGTTGAAGATTTTTATAAAGTTAGTATATTATAGTCAATCTTGATAAACAGGAGAGCAGTCTTCATAAATGTTTAATTCACTGCTGATTACAATTAAGGCATTCTCAGCCAGGCTCAATGGCTCGTGCCTGTAATCCTAGGGAGGCTGAGGCAGGAGGATTGCTTGAGGCCAGGAATTCGAGACCAGCCTGAGCAAGAGTGAGACCACATCTCTATGAAAAATAGAAAATAGTAGCTGGGTGTCGTGATGCTGCCTGTAGTCCCAGCTACTTGGGAGGCTGAGGCAGGATAATCCCTTGAGCCCAGGAGTTGAGGTTGCTGTGAGTCATGATAACACTGCCATACTCTAGCTAGAGCAACAGAGACACTGTCTCAGAAAAGAAAAACAGAAACCATACTGATAAACTCGAGAGCAGTTTTTGTAAATGATTAAATCACTGCTGATTGCAATTAAGGTATTTTTATTGATATAATGAATCAATACATTTATCACTTCCTAAAATGTGCTATTACTAACAGTGACTGCCAGTAACCTTGGTTTTTATTTTCTTCCTAGTTCTCTGTAAATCAGTCTGATCGTGGCATATTTAGGGGTCAGCATGGATTCTAAACGTTGACTTAGAAATTACATAACAGGTCTTGCCATATGGCATGCTGCTCGAATTTGCTGAAGCCATGTGTTTTCAGGCATTGTTAATACCCTGCAGCCCAGGAGAAGGGTTGAAACTGAAGCATG